CCTGCCGGCTCGGCCCGCGCGCGCAGGAGTTTGCGCCGCGGCCGGGACACGCCCCGCCCCGCAAGCCCCGCCCCCCGGCCTCGAGACCGCCTGCCGACTAGGGACCGAGGGGGTGTGGAGCCAGCAAGCCGCGTGCCACAGCCACCAGTGAGCGCTCAGTGGGTCTTGCGCCCCCTGCCATACCCGAAAGACAGGTCGACGCGGCCTTTGCTTCCCTTGCCCGGGGATCAAAGCCTACACGTTTTGCACCGTGCGTTCTCCACAGTAAGGACAGGGTGGAGGCGCAGGGCTCAGGTTCAGGACTCAGCAATTCATCTGGAAGTTTCTATCTAGTCTGAACTCACAGGGCTGCAATGACAAATGGAGCCTTCCCACCCCTGACTCCTAGATCCTGTCCCCAGGGTCTCTATTCCTCAGTCCCCCTCAGGGTATACCAGGAGGGCCATGCGAATCTTAGCTATCCGGCTCCTAACACTTGCCCACCCTAAAAACTCTTGGCACTTTCTCTTTCCTGCATTCGTCTCTGCAGTGAACTAACTGGGGGGTCAGTTTGGGATTTTAAAAATGGGACAGAAAAGACTCCAGTATGGCCACAAGAGGCCAGTAGAGGGCAGACAGGAGGCTGCAAGTACAGAAATGTGACTTGTGTAAAAGACCCATGCAGGACGGAGGGCGGGCCTGGGTGAGGATGCTGGGTATGGTTCAAGACGTGGGGGAAAAAAAAAGCCAAGGCAAAACAAAACAAAGCCAAGGTCTTTCCCTCGGAGAGATGGGAAGGGCATCAAAGTGGGGACAACCTGGCATAATTTTAAGTCCCTGTGACCCTCCTGTACATCAGGGGACAGAGCCATAAGATCCTTCCTGTCCAAGAGCCTAAATCTGGAATGGGAGACCAAGGCCAACTAGAGCCTCTGAGAAGTCATCTCTGAGCCCCTTGGACTTCAGAGGAGCTCGTCCCAACAGGCTGAACGAGGGGGATTTCTATTAGGCACTCAGTAAATGCTACTTCTCTCTTCCTTTCCTTTAACCACTGAAAGCCGATTCATAAATACACAGCAGAAACCAGAAAAAAACAAACAAGCAATGCTTACAAAGTAAGTATCCATATGTATAAATAAATGTATACAGTACTTAAAGGGCAGTAACACTCTTCCCATTCTTATTTCTTCTTTCTCTCATAATGAACAGCAGCAGGTAGAAAGATCTCTCTAAGGTTGCTCCACAGCCCGTGGGAGTGACTGTTCCGGTAGACCCAGGGCTCTGCTGATGTGGGCCGGACCGTGCCGGGGCAATGCTGGCACCTGGCCCGGTTACCTCTGTACCACTCGTTAGTGGTCTGGTTGGTGGCAGCCAGGTACAGAGCAAAGCACAGGTAGCCGCCCAGGAGGAAACTCAGAATCAGGACAAAGCCCAGCATGAAGACAATCCTTGGGAAGGTCAGGAACAGGTACTAGGAACAAAGAAGCAGCAGCATGTTAGGCAGCTGGGTCGTGACACAAGTAAGGGTCAGCACCTACCGTCCCTGGTCCTGTGCACGGGTCCGTCAGAGCTGCCTCCCCAGCTCACCCACCTCCGTGCATGTCTGACCCATTGGACACAAATCAGAACCATAAACAGCACTGACTAATAGCCTAGGAAGAAATCCTAGATGTAGAGTTTAATATGGGATAAACGAAGTCTGCACACTCAGAAGATGATGCTATGCCAGTTAGCTATTTATAAAACAAAGACATACACGTAGACTTTAGTTCACGCATCAAAATAAGGTCCAAATGGATAGAGGAGAGCTCGCTCTTAAAATGAAACACCAGAGACGCATGCACGAGGGCACACACTGTACAGGGCACCGAATTTAACAGGCCCTCTTCCCACGAGAAACAAGTTAACTGTCCAATCACGAGGAAGAATAAAATTCTGGGATAGTCGTACTATAGAAAAATAAGGAGCCATTAAAATGAGTTCAATTTTTATGTACTAATTTGGAAAAGATGTTGGTAGTATATTTTTTAATGAGAAAGATGACATGCCAGGATCACAATGGTACCCTATTTGTGTAAACACAAAACTAACTCTAGGAAGGTGTATGGCAGTATAAACAAGCATAGGAAAAAAACTTGAAATATACACACCGAACTACAAAAGCAGTTGCCTCCAGGGAGAAAGTGTTGGGAGGGGAGGGGAATAAGTTTTCATTTCATTTTGTTTTCAAGATGTTTTAAATTTTTTCTTCCCCTACCCCAGCTTTGAGATATAACTGACATATAACATTGTGAAAATTTAAGGTGCACAATGCAGTGCAAAACATGATTATATATATGTATAGAAATAATTACCACGATAAGGTTAGTTAACATATCCAGCACCTCACAGTTACAATTTTTTGTATGTGTGAGGAGAACTTTTAAGAGCTGGTGTCTTAGCGACTTTCAAATACACAACTAGAGTCGCCACGCTGTGCATCATGTCCTGGGTCTTATTCGTGTGTCGCTGGGAAGTCTGTACCCCTTGACCATCTTGACTTATTCCTCATTCCTCCCTCCTTTTCCTTTTAAGCACTTCTGGACTGCTTGAATTTTTATAATTTATTTTTTTTATAATAAAATGAATTTTGAAAGAGTTAAATATTTTTGAAAGTTAGATAAAAAGAGGAACAAATGATTACCAAAACCCTTGATGGGGGAGTTTCTAATTGAGGTCACAAAGAAAATAGATTTGATGAGGAAGAAAGTTCACAATTTTTTATATGAAAACAATACACAAATAGAAAACAAATACAACAAGAAGGACCCATCATTATTACATAAAGACCTCAAATCAAAAGCTACTCTAATATCAAACAGGTAAACAATGAAAGGACATCATTCACAAAAAAAAACATATACAAATGACTGACAATCGAGGAAAGTAATCAAAGTAATGAAAGAATATAATTTTTAAAAAGGGCGCACCAAGTTTTCCTATTAAACTAGAGGCACCTCTCACCCACAGGCAGCGTCAATGTCGGCTCTGATGCAGTAAAATGACCACGTACACATTGTTCTAAGAACGAGGTTTCAAAAAACAATTTGACAATAGATGTTAATATCAAAAGACTTACAACTGTTGATAATCTTTAACCTAGTCTTTATATATTTTTGAATCTATCCTAAAGAAACTCCTAAATACAGAACCAAAACCACATACACAGATTACTCACTGCCAAGGGGAAAATGTACTTCACCAATGGAGACAGCTGGTAGACACCACCTTCACCAATGAATCAACCCAGGCTCCACTGATTCTAGGTTACGTCTCTACCTAGGAAGCTTTTTTGCCAAGAAAATTTAAACTGAATCTAATCCAGGCTCTAGAACCTCTGGTTTACAATAACACAAGAAAACAAAGAAAGATTAGATGACACAATTAGGAAAAAGACAAATCTAGAACATCGGACATTCTAATAGGCAACTAGATATCTATTTCATGAAAAACGTGGGGCACTGTTTTAGACCAAAAGAGACTAAGAAGACATTTGAATGTGACACATAACTATTAAATGGGTTCTGGCTCGAGGAGGTAAAAGAGCTAGGATGATTATAATAAGAAAGATCGATAATCAGTGTTGGCAAGGATGCGGAGAAACTGGAACCTTCGCACACTGCAGGTGGGAAGGTAAATGGTGCAGCTGCTCTGGAAAAGTGTGGCAGTTCCTCAAATGATTACAAAGAGAGTTACCATATGACCCCGCAGCAATTCTACTCCTAGGTATAACTCAAGAGAAATAAAAACCTATGTCCACAGAAAAACTTGTATACAAATGCTCAAAGCAGCATTATTCAAAAATAGAGAGAAAGTGGAAACACTCACACGTCCATCAACTGAGGAATGGAAGAAAATGTGGTACCTATCAATGGGGTATTTTTCAGCCATAACGAGGCACGAAGTACTGATTCACGCCACGACATGGATCAACCTTGAAAACACTGTGCTCAGGGAAAGAAGCCGATCCAAAAGGCCAGATCGTATGATTCCATTTACATAAAATGTCCAAAAAAGGCAAATCGAATGTCCAAAATGTCCAAATTATATGTCCAAAAAAGAGACAGAAAGCGGATTAGTGACAGCCACAGTCGAGGGAGAAGGGCACGGGGAGTGACTGCTGACAGGAGCGGGTTTCTTTCTGAGGTGATGAAACATTCTGAAATCAGCGATGGTTACACAACTCTGTGACTATACTAACACCACTGAACGGGTACTTTAAAAGAGTGAATTTTATGGTATGTGAATTATTTATCCATTTTAAAAGATTACATATCAATTTTTTAAAAGGAACGGCTTCATGTTTGTACTGGGCGAATGTATGTCCTTTTTCCAATTTTGAAACCTGAAGTTAGAAACATACCCCGCACACCATACTTACCTGAATAATCAGTTACCTGAACAAGAAAGACGGTGTCAATAACTTGGAAGTGTCCAAGGTCATCAACGTAAGTCTCCAGGTTCAAGTCCGACACCATCACCAACCGGACCAGAAACATAGTGGTCACAGTGGCCACGGTGGCAGCTGAGGCCGTCAACGTCAAGAGGTAGATGAGGAAGTACCTGGTGTTCCAGGCCCCGATGCAGTTGTTCACCCAGACGCAGTGATGGTCAAAACGGTGCACACATCGGTTACACACACCTGCACAGAAACGGGGAGCCACAACCCTGCGTTGGTCCTTGATGAGACAATGACGCCAGGCACACCTACTGACATACATACGGGCAGTATGAGCTGGAGGAAATGGCAGCTGTGGTCACCCAGCTTTTAGAATTGCGTTGTTCAAAACACAAAACAGTAGCCACCAGCCCAGCCACAGATAGGTATTGAGCATTGGAAATGTGGCTAAAAGAAAAACTTGAAGAATACTTGTTGGTATCGATAAATTTACAGTTGTTTTTCAATTTGTGCAATGCTCCTTTTGAGATCAATGTGAATAATACTGAGACGACGCAAGAGTTAGTGAATTTACTTAACTTAATCATTTTTAAAACTAATGCTTTTGCTTTAAAGTCAAATTCTTCTGATAAATATGAACCATTATGTCAATGTAGATATGTGTATTAAAGGAAAATGAATATTGGTACTGATTCGATTATTTAAATACTTTTAAGAATGTTTGGAATGGCTTGGGTATAGAAATCTGCTCTTCCAACTGTAAATTTTATAAAAACTAAATACAGATCAAGTATTTCCAATGAAAATTTGGTGTCTGGATTGAGATGTGCTATAAATGTAAACTACACATCAGATTTCAAAGACTTCATATGACAAAAGAGAACATAAACTATCCCACAAATGATTTTTTATACTGATTACATGTTAGAGTATTTTAGATATGTTGGGTAAATAAAATACATGATTAAAATTAATTTCACCTATTTCTTTTTTACTTTTGTAATGTGGCAATGAGAACATTTAAAATCACGTATGTGGCTCACACTGTATTTTTGTTGGACAGCACTAGTCTAGAATCTTGGTAACTCCCCAGAAAAACAGACTCAGCTGAGACTGAAATCTGCAAGCACAACATCCTGCAGAAACCTGTCTTGGGCAGTATGCTTTGCCATGTGACAAGGGAAGGGTTGTCATGCCCAGACCGAGGGTTGCCCACTACACGAGCACACAAGGCCTCACCTCCAGTCACCGAGAAGAAACCTCTACCAGCAGTGGCTGCCCCACGTATGGGGGTCAAGTGGCCCTGCCCTTTGACCTATGTAACACTCCCTTACAGACGAAGCCCACGTGTCCGTGAGAGGCTAGAGCTGGGGCAGCCAGAGCCACACTTACTGCAGTGCTTGGATCGCGCTGGCTTCCTTAAACCACAAGTAGAGCACCTCATGTTCTTTGGGAACATCACTTCATCAAATTCATAAACTTGAAGAAACAATAATTCGTTTGCTTTTGTTATGGTACCTGAAAAGAGGAACAAATGTCAGTTTTAAGCAATACAGTGGACTGGATATTCACAAAACCTGTCCACACACAGCACAACTAAAGCTGCTATATTTACTACTTTAAATAATTCATTTTAGACTTCTTAGCAGCTTTATTGAGATATAATTCATAAAACTAATTTACCCATTTAAAATGTACGATTCAATGGTTTTGAGTACATTCACAGAGTTGTGCGAACATCACCGCGATCAACTTTAGAACATTTTCTTAACCCTGAAAATCGCTCTCCATTTCTCTCTAAATCTCCCAGTCCCTGGCAAACGCTAATCAATGTTCTGTCTCTACAGATTTGCCTTTTCTGGATACTTTATATAAATGGAATCATACAATATGTGGTCTTTTAAATCTGGTTTCTTTCACTTAACATCATGTTTTCAAGGTTCATCCATGTTGTAGCATGTATAATAAGTACTTCATTCCTTATTGCTGAATAATAGTCCACGGAATAGGTAAACCACAGTTTATGTTGATGGACATTTAGTGCTTCAAGAACAGGAAAAGTTAAAAGAACGGCAGAAAAAAACAAGCATAATATCAATCAAAAGATACATAATATCAATCAAAATATAATAATATTAGTATCAGACAAAAGAGACTTGAGAGCAATGAGTATTACTAGTGACAGGAATTCATTATATTTTTAAAAAAGATTTAAAAAAGAGATGATAGTAATTCTAAACTTGAATGTATCCAATACTACGTAATTAACTAACGTACAAACACAGTTTCAAAATATGTGAAGCAAAAATTAACTACAAGGAGAAATCTGTCAAATCTACCATTAGAATGAGATAACGTAACTGTCAGTAATTGATCAAACACAAAAAAATTAGTATGACTATAAAAGACTGGAACATTATTAACAAACTTGATCCTATATACTTACAGGGTTCTCTGTACCCAAGAACACATTCTTTTGAAGCACACACAGATCAGGTACAAAACCTGACCACACACCCAGGCATAATACAAATATCAATAAAATTTTCAAAAGAAACAGTATCCTACAGACCATAACCTCTCTATATAACACATTAAGTGAAAGTATTAAAAAATTAAACTAAAAAACTTGTATGGAAAATTTTAAACAGTTCTAAATAACCCATGGCTCAAAGAAGAAAAAGATAAAATAAGAAAACACTCAAAACTGAAAGACCACGCAAACAATATACATCAAATCGTTTGCAAAGTCCTCAGAGGGATCACTACTTGTTTGCGGCACTGTCGGTAAGACTGACAGCTGAGCCGTCGCCAGTCTCTATACTAAGAGCTTTAACTTACCAGGGTCAGTTACACAACTTAGGGTGAAAAAAACCAAGTTTACAATCAGCAGCAGATAAGGCAGAGAAAGGGAATATAAGGAGAGTTCCAGCGCTCGACAGTAGCCAAATATTTCCCAGGTGTATTCAGCATAAACCATCCCTTGCAATGTGAGGTGCAGGATAATGAAAGTGTGGTTTCTGAAAGGAAATAGGTACATAAGAAACTATATGAAACATTTTACAAAGTGCCTAGCACGTAATACGTACTTAGTACATGTTATCTATTATTATTATTACTCTGAAGCTACAGGATAGCAACAATTAACAACCAAAACAGACGATAATATTTAAACTCTGAAATATAAATACCGTGTGTGAAAGAGGTAATGAAGCAGTCTTAACATGGCTCTCTGAAGGCATTCTGGAATTATATAGGAAAATATCTGAAACAAAAGAGAAAAGATTCAATTTCATTT